TCCTGATAGGTTTTTTTGCACTCTTGTGTGTTTTTAAAAGTTGTTGAATTTGCTGTTATTCCGGAGAGAGGAGAGATAAATTGGTGAGTGTTGTCAGTCTTTTGAAGTGGAAGTTAATACACTGCCTTAAAACTAGGGATAAATAAAATGAAAGCCTAAAGAAGTACAAATAAAAATGAGTTTTCTAAAAAAAAGCATGTTTTCTCAGTGCTTTATGAAATTTCTTCCATGGTCAGTCAGATGGCCAATTTAGTAACTGCATTTTCTCTAGGCACCTGCATGTCTTTTTAAAATCCTTTGTACTCTAGGAGAATGGGGCTGGGGGGGGAAGGCAAAAAGTGGGAAAAGGTATAGACTATGCTGTAGTAGCCAACTAATCTTATTTTTTCCTATTTTAAGCCAAGAGAATTACTGTCAAGGTCTCCTACTGTGATCCTGTGCTCCTCAAATGATGGCACTGGCTTGGCTAAATTTTAAGGAAATTCTTTTTTGGAAAACTGTATAGGAAGGGCTCCCTTTGAAACTGGAGGTTCAGATGGAGTCTCAAGAAATGGAGACCAGAGAGGCTGGGAAAGAAGATTGAGGTGAGGCCTTGGTGTGGCCACACAGGCTGGTCCAAGGAGGCTACTGGCCTGAGCTGAGTGACTTGGGTCTCTTAGGAGGGGGTGACACAAGCTAACAGTAACCCTCAACTCGACCCCCAATACCAGATTTCTGTTGTGACATATGTGGCCAGAAAGTAAGTTTCTGTTTGGAGATCAGTTGTCTTGTTGTTTCTTCCCAGAAGCCTGAGAGCTTCGAAATATGGACTTTGAAGAAGAGATTGCCATGGGCTTATGTGGCCATTGAAACAAGTTTTCTTCTCCAGGTCAGATTGATGTGATTTTTAAGATTATGGAATAGAAAATACCCCACATCACCTGTCCTGTTTCCATTTTAGAGTTTTTACATTCCTGTGTTTTTATTGGCCCCAAAATATGCTGAGTGAAAAAGATTTTGGGTAAGTTTTAACTAAGATCAGAGAACTTCATGTGGGCTGGAGAAGTTCATCTTGGGTCTCAAGCTGGCCAGTGATTAGTTTATGCCTGAACATGTTAGTCTAAGAGGCATTTAAGTAGTGGACAGAGAATTAAAAAAAAAACAAAAACAAATTATGGAGCATGGAGCTAAGGGGAAAGCTGAAAATAAAAGTGGCATTTCACCCTTCAATGCTGATGGATAAGCTATAGTCAAGCTACAGACTATGTCTCCTGATAATGGCTTTGAGTTCATTCTAATACTTAACCAGCTCAGTGGACTGAAGTCCTCAGTGACTGGGTGAATATGATCATATCAAGACAAGCTAGATTTAAGGAAAAAAATAATTTATTAAAGAATTTCAACATATTGGTAGAAGTTTCAATTAAACAGGAAGTTATGGTTCTAAATTAGTAGGCACCTAATCAAATATAAAGCCAAAATTGACTGCTTTAAGATACTGACAATGTTTTAAAACATACCTCTCTCAGTAATTTATAGATCCAGTAAAAATATTATCAAGGACATAGATGATTTGAACAGCACAATTATAATATTTGTCTACTAAGAAATATACATACACATATGTTTATATGTATGTATGTGTTCATATGTGTGTGTATTTATAAACTGTGCCCAGCTAGGAAAATATACATTCTTCTTAAGCACATGTGGGGTAATTCAACAATTGATTACTTACTAGGTCACAAAACAAGCTTACAAATTTTAGAATCTCTAGCCACAATACAAACAAGCTAGAAACTAATAGCAAAAATATAAACTTAAAGTAAACCTCATATACTTGGAAATTAAAACAAAAGGATCTATGGCTCAAAGAAGAACTCAATATGTAAATTAAAAATAGTTAAAGCTGAATGACAACACACCCAGGAACATTCTGTATTAAAACTTGGCAGACATCCCTAAAGGAGCATCTTAAAAGTAAAATTTATAGTCTTAAATGCCTATATTCAAAAAGAAGAAAGGCTAAAACAAGAATTTAGCTATGTATCCATCTTAAGAAGATAGAAAAAAAGAAATGACCGAGTAAGTCCAAAAGTAGTAAAAGGAAAGAAAAAAAATAAGAGCAGAAATAAATGCAGTAGGAAACAAAAACACAAAATTATCAAAACCATAGCTGCTTAAAATGACAAACTTTTAACAAGATAGATTAAGAAAAAAAAGAGAAGCCACAAATACTATCAGGATGAATAAAAGTTGTACGTACAGATGCAGCAGAGATGAAATTTTTGAGGGAATATTCTGATCAAGTTGATGTCAAATGCTTAAAAACTTAGGTGAAACTTAAAAATTTCTGGAAAAGTATAAATTATTTGAGGTGATTTAAGAAGTAATAAACACCTGAAGGATACTATAATTTTTAAGGAATTTGAGTCAGGAGCTAAAATTCCACAAAATAAACACTAGTCCCAGATGTTTCTACAGGTAGTTTCAACTATATATTTAAAGAACAGATAGTTTCAAGCTTACACAAACTCTTTCAAAGAGTGGAAAAGGAAAGAACACTTTCTACCCATGTTATAAGACTAATAGAATCTTGATTACAAAGGTGACAAGGATGTTTAGTAGGAGGGAAAGTTACAGACCAATCTGGCCCATGAACCTAGAGGCAGGAATCCTGAATAGAAAGTATCAGCAAACTGGAGGCAGTGATGATTAAACAGAGTTTATTTCTGGAATGATGGACCTAACATCATAAAATATGTTATGTAAATCATCATATTTATAGTTGAAAAAAGAAAAATCTTGTGATCACAATAGATTCAGATAAACATTTGATGACATTCATCAACTATTTATGATAGAACTTTAGCAAGCTAGGTTTAGGATGGAACTTTATTTAGAGCAAACATCTTATTAGTAGAAAATTATGGAAAGAAGTTTCTTTACAATTAGGCATGAAAAAGGGTGTCTGCTCTTACTACTTGTAATGAGCATTGCTCTGGAGAACAAGTCAGTGTAGTAAAACAAGCAGGAAAAGTGTAAGGATCAGAAAGGAAAGAACCTCAAATATCACTATTTGCAGATGATATGGTTTTCCATGTAGAAAACGCAAAAGGATATACAAATTATGAGAAATCTCTTTCACACGCACACAATATCATATCAGTTGGGGTCTCTATAGGAAACAGTTGGCATCCTCAATGCAGAGTTAAATGACTGGTCAGATGTGGTGAAATGCCCCAGTAATTAACACCAGACAGAGTTCAGTCCTGAGCACAGGGCACACTGGGGATGCTGAGGGTACACTTGCGGGCAAGGGAGAGTTCCTAGCACACATCTAACAAACACTGTACAAGTCCTTTACTAGAAGCATACAATTGTACCCAGTTATAATAGAGGAAACTAAATGAAGGGAGAGAACCATATTCACAGTAGAATGATTTATCATAAAAGTGTCAATTCTCCCCCAAGTGATTGGAGATTTAATGCAATTATAATAAAAACTTCAACAGAATGATTTTGCAGAACTTAATTAGCACATTTTAAAATGTAAATGAAAGCCAAAATTGACAAGAATAACCAAGACAGAACATACAGGTCTACAAGATATTAGGTCTCATAAAGTTTTTGCGATAAGACAATGTCTATTAGCACAGTGAGGCCAAAAGGGTAGAATAGAAAGCCTAGAAAGAGACTCGTCAAACATAGAAATCTGACAGATGACAGAACTGACGATGGCAGGTCAGTCACCTGTCATCTGACCTGCAATTATTCAACAAGGGGTGGTTGGATTTGTTACACACATGGAAAAATCATGAAATCTGCCTTATAGTCTCTATTCAAATGACAATACTAAAGCCAGAAGTCTGGGTAGATTGAAACCCAAAATGTGAAAGGCAGGATCTTAAATGTGTAGAAGAAAATATCTTTAGGACTCTGGTGATAGAGCAGGATTTCAAACAAGCACAAAGTGCATGGACCAGAGAGGAAAAGACTGATAAATTCAACCACAATGAAATTAAGACTTTCTGTTCTTCAAAAGACACCAGTGAGAGAGTAAAAAAGCTAGCCATAATCTGGGACATTGCAACACAAAATCGAAAAGGATCCGAAGATACATACAAACATTTATAAATTAATAAGGAAGCGATAAACACCCCAATGAAAAAAAGAGCAGAAAATAGGAATGGGCAAGATATAAAGTCATAAGAGACTAATAAGCACATGAAAAATGCTCAACCTCATTACTCATCAGGACCATCCACAATGAGATATCATCATGTATCTTCAAGAATGGCCAAAATTAAATTGTCTTAAGGCTAAGTGTTGGCATTAGTGTGCAACAAAAGGAAGCTTCAAATAGTGTTGCATCTGTGCAAGTTGGTGAAAACAGCTATTTTAGAAAACTGTTTATTAGGAATTAGACTGAACACACACACATCCTACAGGCCTGTAATCTGACTACTTTTTGACTTAGGAAAATGACAGTTTCATGTGGTTCAACCTAATATATATCCTAAAGAAATTTCTGCACTTTTTGATTGGGAAACAAGTATAATATTATTCATAGCAACATTATGATAACTCTAAAAAGAAAACAGCTTAAACCTAAAAATAAACATCCACTGACAACATGATGGGTAAGTATATTGGGGAGTATTAAGTAATGGAAGAATATCTTAGTGGAAATAAAGAACCTGTACTCAACATAGGTCAAGTCAAAAATGTAGTGTTTGCAAAACTGAAATAGGACAAAGCAAATCTAAATTGTGGAAGAACTTATATGCGACTCCAAACAGGCTAACTCAACAGTATGTTATTCAGGGATACCTTCACATCTGGTAAAATTTATAATGAAAATTGAGTGATTTATGTAAAACTCAGCAGTTACCTTTTGTTTTATTCTATTTTTTCTCTGTCCCTAACTTTATTGATCACCTCGAGGCCTGTGCCTGGTTGGGTGGCTCCAGGGATGGGTCACCATTCACCACTCAGCTGGGATATGCAAAGGCCCGGGACTAGGCCTTCAGGGCCACAGACTGTGGAGTATGAAGGGCCAGATCTGGCCTTTCCTGGGCCAGCCCGGGGCACCCAGGTAGGGGCAAAGGGCCCAAGCTCGGCACCTGTTTGTCAGCATAGTTGTGTTTGGAAAAGTATTCTTTGCTGTCATCCACGTTGGGCTTGACCGTGTCACTGCTTGGCTTCCAGCCAGTGGGACAGACTTCCTCCTGCTCATCTATGTACTGAAAGGCCTGGACCAGCTGGAGCCTCATCCACGGAGCCCTACAGAGACAAATCTTTGATAGTGATAGGGTGAAGGCACCCTTGCCATCCATGATAAAGAGGCCCCTGTAGGCAATCCCCTTATCTTTTTTCAGCATGCCGAAATCATGGGACAGGCTTCTGGTTACATCAGCCAGCAGGGCGATGTTCAGAGGGCCCAAGCCTCCCTCCTTCTGGGGGGGTGTTAATCCAAGCCAGGTGGGTGAACTGTGAGTCTTTGGAGACCCCCAGCACCTTGCAGCCCAGCTTGCGGAAGTCCTTGGCATGCTCGCTGAAAGCCTTGATCTCCGTGGGGCACATGAAAGTGAAGTCCAAAGCATAGGCAAAGAAGACTGCGTATTTCCCTCTGTAGTCTGAAAGCTTCACCTCCTTGAAGGCGCCGTCCACCACAGCGGTGGCCTGGAAGTCCCGGGCTGGCTTTCTGGTGTGAACATTCTCGGAGGCCATGACCGAAAGCTGAGACCCCCTGTTTGGGGAAGGGTGAGACGCACAGAGCAGGAGACCAGCTGACTCGCGTTCTCAGAGACCCAAAACTCAGCAGTTACCTTCTAGAAAGAAGAAACGGGATGTGTGTGGGTGGGGGCGATCGCGGGGCTTCAGGGGAATAATCAGTCATATTCGTTTCTTAAGCTGGGTGATGAATATATGCATTTGTTTCAAAACTATAATTCTTTAAAATGTTAAAGAATACATACATGTTATATGTATTTTTTGATATGTGGTATATACACATAAAAAAAACTTTAAAAGATTACGAGAAGGAAAAAAATGCAGCCAGCCTAACTTCTTTTTCGCATTAAAGTTCCTGAAGTGCCTTCCTGCCCCTGTGAGCCGTGTCTCCCGGTATTTCATTCTTCTTCACGTGATTGACAAGCCACTCATCTCCAAAAGTGCCTAGCACTGGTATGTAACACAGAAAGCACTCAATAAATACCTTTTATTTTTGATTGAAGCAACAAGCTAGCCAAAAAGAAAAATTTCCATTTCCCTAGTAGTTAAAATGCTGTGAGTCAAACACTCTGTCACAGGTACCTAGAAATTGACAACATTTTAAAAAGTATTGCTCTTGGAAGAGTATTAGAAATCACATATTGCCGGTGGGAATGTAAAACATAAGTGGTGGCTGATTTGGCAATGTTTGGAAAGTTCTAAATTTGTTGATGTAGCAGGTCTACATATAAGAACTTATCATCCCAGAACCATCAGATAAGTGTTTGTCCGGTAGAAATTTCCATGTAGCACAGTACTTTATAATCACATAAAAACGTATTCTTGACAATGATTTTTTAAAAATAAGCTATGTTACATCCATCCATACAATGAAATCATATATAACTATTAAAATATTATAAAATAGATGATAAAAACATTCTTGTTAGTAAAATTCAGACTCACCAAAAAAAGAACTTCAGACTAAAACCCTGTATGTAAAATGATTTTATACTTTAAAAATATGTGTATCTATGTACAGACAAAGTGAGGGCAGAAAGGACATACAGAGTCCCTGGCCCATAACAGGTGCTAAATAAATAAATAAATAGCAAAAGAATAAAGGAATAAGTGACATACACCAGAACTCTAAGATTGGTTACCTCCTTTGTGTGCTAGATGAAGGATGACAACAATTTTCTCCCTTTTGCATATTCATTTTTCCTAAGATCTTATATTATGTTCATGTATTCCTGTTGTGATAAGAAAAGACCCAACTAACTAAAGGTTAGTATCTATACATAACTATTGCATTTTGTATCAGAGCTACTACATCATCACATATAAATTTATCAAACATCTTTGAAGTTCATGTTGACATTAAGATTTGCTTCTTCCCAATCTTCTTTAATACTTATTTATTTAATATCCTGCAGGTTTGAAACCCTTTAAAAGAAATGATTATGTGTTCACACTCAGGCCCTGAAGCTACCCACTTCGAGGTTACCATTGGGCCACAGTGGTACTCACTGGCCCCTGTGTGCCCGCTGCTGTGGGCTGCCAACCTCCCGAGCCCCAGGCGGGTTGGGAGGTGATCGCAGGCCCCAAAGTCTAGCGCCGGCTTTCCCTAGGATTCCTGCAGGGCATCTCAATTAATAATCGCTACTGCCTAATATTGATTAGAAAACTTTGTTTAAGGCTCTAAACTTTCTTAAACTCTCCAGCCCGATATCCTTAAGACAATTTGAGATCTTTCCAGGTGTGATTTCTATTATTGTGGCTATTGTTGTTTTCAAATATATTCATAGCAAGACGTGAAGAAATATTTGACTCTTGTTGAGAATCATGTTATTGGAAACCTTTCTGTGCTGGACACACAGATCTAGGAAGTTCAGCAAGTCATTCTGAATCTCAAGGTCAGTCCTGTGCACACCCTTGGGTGCTGCTTTCCTTCTGGAATTTTTTGTGGGTCTAAGGCTGGACCAAATATTTCCACACCACCCACGGGTTTCATGCTCATTAGTTCCACCATAATTGGACTCTCCCATCAGCTTGCTTGGGAAGAGAAGAAGGAAAAGACAGGACCCTGTGATACTCAAGATTACAGGTTGTCTTGAGTGATAGGAATTTACGATCCTGAATGGGCATTATTGTTGCATGGTTTGCTAAATTATGTTAAAGGTTGGAGAACTATCAAAAGCTTCCATCTTGAAAGGGTTGCACTTGTACTAAAAATACCTCAGAAAACTTGACTTTCCTTTGATGCTTTAATATATCCACCCTGGGTCTTAGAATGAATCCACAACTCAAAAGCTGAACTCAAGTAAGTTCCGAGCTGAACTTGGAGTTCAGTGATACATTTAAATTAATACCTAACAACCCCTCTTGGGAAGATATATGAACTTTCTGTGATTTGCATATAGGCATGGAATTATTTTAGACATTAAAAAAAAAAAAAGAAAAAAGAACTGCCATAGGCAGCCTGGGGTAAAACACAAGCTGAAAAACACATTTACCATACCGGAAATACTGAGAGCATTAGCCCCAAATGGCACCAAGACCAGTGGCTGAGTACCCCATAATAACTTGCTCTGGTGAGCACCAGCAAGATACACCATGAGTCTCACAGGATCCTGGTGGTGATCCATAATAATAATTTCCAGGATGAAAACTGCATGGCCATGGAGAGGGGTGAACTTTCCAGTGGATTTTGTTTAAAGAATTGAACATTTAACAAATTTTCTGAGCCTAGTAAAACATATTGAAGTATATTTCCTGCAGTGTTGTCTCTTATCTTTGCAGCTCTGTGGGGAATATAATTAAAGCCAGTTCATTAGACTACTGTGGAGGGCTTGCTGGGGGATATCTGATGAGGAAGGGATGGGTATGAGAAGGCTGGCACTGTGCAAATCCACAGGCAATGCACCTTGGACACGGAAAGAGGCAGTGCTTAGGAGTGAATGAGGGCACAGCCATACTCACAGGAGCCTGCATAGCAGGCTGCCATGAATGGAGAAATGCACTTTAGTTTTCTAAACTGAGAGCATATTTTGCACTAGTGGCCACGGATGGCCCATCTGAAAGCCGGGGGTCCAGGTTTTGCCTGTAGGCAGAAATTTGTAGCTACATCTGGCTTCGCTTTCCCATATTGTTAACCCCCCTTTTCCCCGCTACATTTGTTTTCTTTTTATTAAATTTCCCGTCTGGATCCTTGCATCTGCATTTCTAATGTCAACAACTGCTTTTATGACAGATAATAACTTCCTTTTACAAAAAGGCTGTATCATCCTACATGCATTTCAAATTATATTTTATGAACAAACACTGAAATACAGTATTTGGCAGTATGCATGCACAATTGAGTGCATTTGTAGCAATCTAAATCTAAATTGCAAGAGCCAAGAACTGAGTTGGTTGCAGTGGCCTTCATAATCTACTTCTTGAGTGTTGTTAGTTCTCACCAGAACTTAATTAAGTTTACATTGGGATGTTTATAAAGTAAATTATGTGGTATGCCTAAACATGCCATAAAAACAATTATCAAACCATAAGCAATCCTTTAACACTCCAGAGTGTTCACAGCCAAGATTGTGAAATGTTCTAAAATCAATTGTTGGTTAACAGATAGGCTGGAATAAAATTAAGAAAAAAATGGCTAAGGAATAAGAAGGAAAACTGGGCTTTTGCTGTCTTCATGGCACAAGACCAAGTGAGCATCAAGGTGTCTGCTCTTTCCTGAGTCTTTGTCCTCTCTCTGGCATAAAGGCGTGGATGTTGGGAAGAATCCCAAGTTCAGGTTCCAGACCCTGCTGCTGACTTGCTGTGGGTTATTTGAAACTGAGCCTTGCTGACCACTTGAATACATATAGAAGACAATTGGGAAGCTACTGGCCGCAATGAGATTAAAATGAATTTCTTGTTCCTATAATGAAAGGCACTGAGTGTTTATTTACTATACGTTATATTTAATCTAGTGAGTAATCCTTCATGGCCGTGTTCTGCCATCTGCATCCCATGTGGCAAACTAAGCAAATGGTAGATAGTTGAATTGAAATTTTAATTGCCGAGCCTCCGTTCTTTCCACATTTGGGCTGTGGCAGGAAAGGATGATGGCACTCCTGTAGGAAAAGAACACACCGGTTATCTCAGTGTGGAAGCAGAGTTAGCAGAGCAAGTTGCATGTTCTAATCGCTAGTATATATAGCGATGTTTAAAATTTAGACTTCTGCGTTCATTGCCTCTTGATGCCTGCAGTTTATGGGAAAAAAATGTCTGAGTACGTGACACTGGACTGATCCAGCCTGAAGCATCAGTCCTGCTTAGGAGCAAACGGAGCCCAGAAGGGGTGCACTGTGGAAATGGGAACTTAAATTTTAATGGCTGTCAGTTCTCCAACTGGCCTGAGTGGGATTAGTGCTTGGGTATAAGAACTGGTGGTATCATCCAATGACACATTTTAACCTGCTCACCCTGCATCCTGCAGCTGTTCAGAACACAGTGAGTAAAGTCTCAATTTCTTGTAAATTGTTCTTGGTAAATCTTCACTGGTGCAGTCTGTTGGCCATTTATAAGAGAGTTGTTCTTTGTCCAGATGGTCTCTGACTTATGATGGTTCAACCTACAATTTTTGGAATTTACAATGGTGAGAAAGCAATATGCATAATAAAGTACATGAGTATTCAACACTTCATTATAAAATACTCTTTCTGTTTGTGTTAGATGTTTTTTTCCAACTGTAGGGAACTACAAGTGTTTTGAGCTAGTTTAAGGGAGGCTAAAACAAGCTTCGGTGTTTGGTAGGTTAGGTGTATTCAATGCATTTTTTTAATTAAATTTTTTTAATTTTTAAAAAATATATTTTATTAATTATGCCATTACAGTTGTTCTATTCCCCCCCTGCATTCCCCTCCACCCTGCACACCCCCTCCCCCACCATTCCCCCCCTTTAGTTTATGACCACGTGTCTCAAGTTCTTTAGATTCTATGTCTCCCCTACTATTCTTGCCCTCCCGCATATC